CAGGGCTTTGGCATACGCAAAGGAAGATCAGAAAAAAATAGAATCTAAATTAAGAAAACAAACAATTGTATGTTTTTGTGAAGGAGTTTATAATAATCAATCAAAAAGGAAAGAAAAGGAAAACATCATTGTAATTTAATGGCTCAAATCACTACTGTAATTCAAGCCGCTGCAGCGGCTTGAATTACAGTAGTGATTTGAGCCCGGCTCCCTTCGGTCGCCTGTTTGCATTTTAATAGTATTTTAATAGTATGAGCTTATCTTTGATACTTTTTCGGCATATAATTTAATTAATAGAAAAAATAATTTTTTTATGTAATAGAAGGGATGCGTACAGAAATACATATGCATTGTTTTATTTTTAGAAAATTTATTTAAATTTTTTTACCAGTGCGTAAAATATTCAAAAATCGAAAATTTTATATATAATATATGCACCCTACAATTTATGCAGGTGCGTAGAAAATAAAAACCTTTAAATATATTTACAAAATTATTATTTTTTTAAAAAAATCACCACAACGTATCAGATATAGGAAAATTGACCAACGTTAATAGAAAGATGAGTAAGGTTTTTTCAATTAAATTGAACGCTGAATAAATCGTTTGATTTTTCAAATTCATAAAAATCAATTTTAAAATTAATTTATGTAAAAATATCAATTTTTTTTGAAGAAATTGTTGATTTAATAATAGATTATTATAACCAAATCCATATCCGAAATTCTCTAAATAACTACCAGATTTTTGAATAAAGATTTTAATTCTGATTTAGTTAAATTAAGTACCAAAAGAATAATAATAAATGAAATGAATAGATTCTATAAATACATTTAATCATTCAAATATTCTTTTTAAGTTGGTTATAGTAAGTTTAAGATTGACGTAATATAAAATAAAAAAAATTAATCAAAAAAGTGAGGGTGAATGAAAAAAATAAGGAGAGTAAAAGGAAATAAAAGAAACGAAATGGAGCAAAGGGGAGTGAAGAAACAAAAGGAACGAAAAAGATCAAGTGAGAATGAAAAAAATGAAAAGAATGGAGGGGACGAAATGGAGCAAAGAGAATAAAAAAATGAAAGGAACAAAGGGTAGTGTAAAGAGAAGTGGGAATGGAAAAAAAATGAAAATAACAAAGGATAGTGTAAAGGAACGAAAAAGATGAAGTGGGAATGGAATAAAAATGAAAGAAACGAAGAGTATTGTAAAGGAATGAAAAAGACGAAGGAACTAAGAGGGAATAAAAAACCATGGAAAAAATGAAGGAAGGGAAGAATAAAAAGAGCAAAAAAGATGAAAGACAAAAAGAAAACAAAAAAATAGAGAAGGGACGAAATGAGATAAACAGGGGACCAAGTAAAAACAAAACCCATAAAACTAAAAGAAGAAATAAAGTTAGTAGGGAACGGAAATTACATGTAATAAATAAACAAAAACAAAAAAATAAAAAACATACTTTAGTAGTTACAAAGAAGAACCGAAAGACCTAAAAATAAAAAGAATGAATTCAAAATATAAAATGATCAGCTCATAATAAGATTTATAGGTTCATCAATTACCCTAGGTGAAAAATTATTAAATCGCAAAACGTCAAATCATTATTAATATAAGCTATATTATAGTAAGTATATATTATAAATATAATTTAAAAACAAAAAACTATTGAAAATTTTTAATTAATTGAAGAGTGTGCCAACTTGACTCCTGATTCTTCCCTAGTTATGATTTTAACAATTTTAAATTTATTTATTTTATTTTTTAATCATCTTTTTATTACCAAAAATGTTTCAATTTCTTTAATATTAAAATAATTATGACTATAATCTATATTTAAATAACGTTCATAATTACCATGAGAATTATTAGCATATAATTTTTGATTATTCATATATAAAGAACCATGACCAAAATTAAAACCTGAAGCACCACAATAAATAGCTTTAGAAAAATTTTTTACACGACTTAATTTCATATTTTTAATATCTTCACTATTTTCAAAAGAAAAAATAAAATTATTTTTAGAAAAACAATAATAATTATTATTATTATCATTATCATTATTATTATTAATAATAATATCATTTGAATTAAAACCAATAGAACTATAACCTCCAAAAATTTTATTTGATTGTTGTACTTTAATTAAAACTAAACTTGCTACTAGACCTTTACAATTTTCTTTAAATGATAAATTATTTATTCCATCACGACTACCACGATAAATAAGGTTAAACCTATATTGTGAATCTATTACATTTCTATTATAATTGGAATTTTTTTTATCAATCCAATTAATAATTATTTTTGCAACTTTTGGTTTAATAATTTCTGATTTAATCTTTCCTGCTCTAGGTGATAAAAAAGTATTTTTTGGTAATGTACCTTTATGATAACTTTCTTCAACTTCCTTATAAATATTAATAGGAATAATAGCCTTATAAGGACGGATTTTATCAAAAAAATCGGGATAAAGTTCAATAAATCTAATAAGAGGAATTAATTGATTCAAAGTTTTCTTTAACGCTTCATAATCTTCATTATCCCATTTAGCTCGATTATTACTTAAACCAGTTTGTTCAATACCCCATTTAATTAAACAATCCCAAGCAACAATTTCTTCAACATGTAAATCATCCCGTTTAAGTAAACAATAAAGAACGTCTTCATCCAATGAAGGAAAATTTTTTGAGGTAATAAATGGTAATGGATCCGCACAAATGGATTCAAGACAATAATCTTGTAATTTTTTACAACCTGTAAGCTTAAATACAGTGTTAACAATAAAGATAAAATTTCTTCGAAACCAATTTTGTTGTTTTTCAATTAAATGAATCAAATAATCTTGAGCACATTTAAATAATTCTTCGAGTAATAATTCATCAGACGCAATTAAAAGTTCAAGAATATTATCACCTGTCTGTTTTGTAAAATCAATTTCACCCATGTAAATATATCTTTTAAAAAAAAAAAAATTAAGAAAAAAATTTATTAATAAAATAAATAAATAATTTTAATAATATATAGTAAATAAAGCAATAAATTAAAAATATAATAATTACTTTAATATCATTTCAAATACTATTGGAGTAATATTTGGTTTATTAAATATGATCATATTATTTTTTATCGTAATCCATCCATTAGAGAATGCACTTTTAAAGTAGGGAGAACGAGCACGTAATATAACTGAATGTGCTTTAAATTCTTTCGTATTTTTATTTTCACCAACTTGAATAATAACATTAAAATCATCGGAATCATTTAATATTAAAGAAAAGCTTTTTGAAAGACTGGAATGAAAAATTGAAGTCATTTTTTTTTTTTAAAAAAAAATAATAATAATAATAGATAAAGTAATAAAAAGAAGACAATGAGGAAGGCTAAAAAAGCAAAGAAGTACAAAACTATAAATTTATACAAATTTGGATTATATCAAAATGATGATCAATGATTGCTGCGCCTCATCATGAATCTAACGATTTTAAAAAATTTATTAATAAGAATTTTATATTAACCATATTTTGTTATTATGTTAAATTATGTTAATAAAAATTTATTATATAATTAATTTTAACTGGAAAATTAATCGACGTAAAATAAAAATATATTAACAAAAACAACATAATATAAGATAATAAATAACATTATACGAAAATTCACAAATTTTTTTATTCAATAATCAAAAACGTTACGTCGTTACGTTATTATTATGTTACAATAAATGTTTCAATTTCTTCAATATTAAACCAATCATATATTTGTAAATTATTTTCATAATTTTCATAACAATTATTAACATATAATTTTTGATCTTTCATAAATAAAGAACCTCGACCGAAATTAAAACCAGAATGATCATAATCCAATACAGCTTTAGAATAATTTATTACACGACTCATTTTCATATTACTAGTATCTTCACTATTTTCAAAAGAAAAAATAAAATTATCAGTTGAATAATAAAATAAAAATTTATCATTATAACTAAAATTTAAAAGATCATTACTAATGGTATTAAAACCAATAGAACTATAACCACCAAAAATCTTTTCCGAATTTTTAATTTTAATTAAAACTAAACTTGCTACTTGACCTTTACATTTTTCTTTAAATGAATCATTACTAATCCCATCACGACTACCACGATAAATAAGATCAAATTTTTGTAAATTATATAATGGATCATCTTTAATAATATGAACAAATTTTGCACTTTTTTTATTGATCCAATTATTAATTATATTTGCAAGTCCTGGTTTGATGATTTTTGATTTAATTTTTATTTTTCTATGTGATAAATATGGAATATTTGTCGATAACGTCCCACCTTTTTTAAAAGAACTTACAACATCATCATAAATATGTTTGGGAAAAATTGGCTTATAAGGATAAACTTTATCAAAAAATTCGGAAGGATTAAATTCTATAAATCGAATAAGAGGAATTAATCGAATCAAAGTTTTCTTTAACGCTTCATAATCCTCATTATCCCAATTGGCTCTATTGTTATCCAAATCAGCTTGTTCGATACCCCATTTAATCAAATAATCCCAAATTACAGTTTCTTCAACTTGCAAGTCATCTCGTTCAAGTAAATAATAAAGAATATCTTTTTCTAATTTGGAAAAACCTTTTAAAGTAATAATTGATTGTAAGTCCATACAAATTGATTCAATACAATATTCTTGCAATTTTTCACAATTTGCAAGTTTAGAGATCGTATTAAGAACGTGAACGAAATTTTGTTGAAACCATGATTGTTTTTCTTTAATTAAATAAGATAAACAATTTTGAGAGTAATTAAATAATTCTTCAAGAAGTAACTCATCAGAAGCGACTAAAAGCCCAAGAATATCTTCACCTGGTTTATTTATCAATTTAAGTTCACCCGTATAAATATATCTTAAAAAGTTAAGTTACGTAAATTTAAATAAATAAATAAATGATAAATGATTATCAACTTCAACAGTCATATGATAATGTACTTACTTCAAAATCATTTCAAAAACAGTAGGAGAAATATTTGGTTTATTAAATATGATCATGTTATTTTTTATCGTAATCCATTCACTCGAAAATGCACTTCTAAAATAAGGAGAACGAGCACGTAATATAACTGAATGTGCTTTAAATTCTTTTGCATTTCTGTTTTCACCAACTTGAATAATAACGTTAAAATCATCAGAATCATTTAATATTAAGGAAAGGTCTTTTGAAAGACCGGAATGGAACATTAAAGCCATTTCAATTTTATATAAATTTTTGTGTCCAAGAATCGTATTTAACTTTAAATGCACAATGATGTAATGATGACGAATCCGTGTAACGATATTGAATAAATCAGCTAGCGCCACAAAAAAAAAAAAATATATTTACGTAAAGCGACTAAAACGTAAAACATGTTTATTTTGAATTCGTTCGTTTCTAAAAAAAGGAGAGATATTTGAACTATGATTAATCAACTAAATGATTACGAGTTAAATTACGCTAAATTTTTTAGTAAATTATTTTATCGTATTTTTTTCAGAATAGTAGTTATCCCCGTGCAGATCATCTGAATAAAAAAAATTTTTTCACCAAAACTGCGGAATTATTACCATATCACCGTGTAACATTAAATTAATTGAATATGTTAAGTAATAATATCACTTATTAGAGAAAAATATAATAGTATCAGTTTAATTTTTTACGCTTTAATAATTTCAAATTATTTATCGTAAATATTGTAAATATTCAATATTCTTTTTTGTATCAGCGTCGTGTCAAATTGTTATATACGTTATGCTATAAAAAAGTTGATTAAAATTTTGCTTTAACGAATTTAATAATTTTTCTAAAGTGTATTACTAGATACGATATCTCGTTGCTATAATTAGTTTGGTAAATATTTTATTTAGTAAATGTTAAAAAACTACTTTTTGATACATACTATAATTTTAAATAAATTTTATGGAAGCTTGTATTATTTGCTTGGAAACCAGGAGGAATTAATTGTAATTTCATCATTATTAAACAAAACAATAGTAGTGATTTTTAATTTATTGAACGAAAATTTAATTTAAGATTTAATAACGCATATTATTATTTAATTAAATCTTATATATTAATACGTGATTATTGTTAATAAATTTTGTGGAACAAAGTATTTTATTGAGTGAAAGTTAACTCTTATATGACGTAAAAAATCATATACAAATTTGAATTTACGTAACGCAACGTGATAAAGAAATATTAAGAATATGAGTCAGTTATTTGATACTTCCAGAAAAAATTTAACAATTTATTCGGAAAATCTAATATAAATAAACGGTGTAATTTATTGACATTTGTAATTTTTCTTTCAATAGATTAATTTATCCAATCTATGAACATTATTGATACTTGAGATTGTCTAGAGATTCCTATCAAAAGGACTTTTATTATTTTTGATGGAAATCAATCCAGTCTGTGTATCGACGTGTAAAGTCAAGCCATTTAATATATTATGATGGGTTTTACATCCCTCATGAAAAAAGACTATGACTGTATGTATGAAAAATGGTTTTTAATATTTTAATATCATCTTATATATAATTACCATTCTTACAATCTATCTATTGTTGTTGACTTAATCACCAAAACTGTGTTGAGGAAACAGATGAACCCGGCGAAAATATGCAGATTAATTAATAAATTTTGACAGTTAATTCTGGTAATACAATATCACAACGAAAAATCTAATAACAAAGTTCCTAAAGGTTTTTTTCCTGATTAAGTTCAAATTTTCAAGATTATGACATACGGGTTACGGGGTATGATGAAAAACCTTAGACGTTATGTGACCCTCGAAACGTTCGAGACGAACGAGAAAATTGAAATGGAGACTATCTGATCAAATTACTTATTTTATTTTTCAAAGTAAATTTATTTATTAGTAAATTATTACTACTATTGCTTTTGATATATATAGCTAAATATTTGTAATAATTTTTTTTTTTTAAAAAAAAAATAATTTAAAAATGTTTAAGAAAAATAATAATTTTAAAGTAAGATGCTGAAAATAATGAGTGAGGAAAAGTTTTGTATAAGTATTAAAATAATAATAATAATTTTAAGGTAAAATATAATAATTAAACGTAATAATCTAAAAATGAATCCCTGAAAATAATGAGTGGGAAGATTCTTTATATAAGTATTAAAAAATATTTAAAGCAGTATATAATCAAATATAATAAATTTAATCTAAATATAAATTAAGCGGGGAGAATTTTTTTGTATACGTATAATTAGTAAGGTAAATTAGAAAGTTAAAAATTATTAAAAAATATGATATTAAATAGTATATTATATTTTTTTTTATAAAAATTAATTAATCTTAATATATCTATAATTAGTTGATTTTTCATCAACGGATCTCCATATTATTCGACGAAATCCTATTACTACAATAACAAATCCTATCAACTTATTAGGATTTGAATTAACTATCTTAATTCGTTCATCACATACTCCTGTGGAATATTTATTTGCCTGTCCTTTTGAAATTATTCTCATGTACCTTTCTAATTGCTTTGCTCCATTGTTTAATACATCATTTATAGTTGTGCGAATATATTTATTAGTTTTTTTATCATAATATTTACATTGTCTTCTTAGCAATATATCTTCATCTTCTCTTTCAATTACTTTATCTAATTCTCCCAATTCATTTGCATTTAAATCTCTTGCATCAGTATTACTCACTAACCCAGTTAGTGGAATATATTTTAATTCAATATTAGTATAGCATTCTCCTAGGACAAAAACATCAAGAAAACCAAATTTACCGTTTCCCTTATTCACTGCAGTATTCATTATTAAGCAAAGTTCAGGAACACGATATTTTGATGGCAAAAGAAGTTCTATAGTTACTTGAAGAACTGATTCATTTGCTGAATATAATGACCTTCGTGACCTTGTTAATAATGTTTCCTTTAGAAATTTAATGAAGCTGATGATATTACCTGAAACAAGATCTTTATATGCCAAACCAATATAATCTTCATTTTGTCTTTGTCTCTTTTTAAGGTCTAATAAATTAATATTTAAATGTATAATAAGTTAATGAATCATATAAAAAAAAGTAATGCCATTTAATGCTAAAAGTAATGCAATTTAATGATAATCAGACTTACTAATAAATGGATCATCAGCTGTAACTTCTTCATTATTCCTTTTAATGTTCTTATTAATTTTTTTGTGATTTACTTTAGAAGTTTCAGGATTTTCATTTTGCTTTGACAAATAATGATCCTCATTTTGGTTTAGAAGTTTTAATAAATTAATATTTGAATATAATAAATTGGTAAATAATATAAATATAAAAATTATTGAGACGATTTAATGATAATATGACTTACCAATAAGTAAATTAGATGTATTATCATCATCATTTATTTTAATACTCTTATTAATTATTTTGTGATCAACTTGAGAAGATTGAGGAAGATCTTCAGTGAGTAATTTAGTCTTAGGTGTTAAATTCTCTTTTTCATGATGTTCTTGGATTATGATTTTCCAAAATGATTTGAATTCCTTCTTATACTCCAAGCGTTCTATATTTAGCTATCATTAGTAAGAAAGCATTATTAGCAGTGTGTAAACTTTTTATTTAGTAGTAAAAGAAGGTACATAGTCAATTTCTCCTCCAAAATTAACAGACTTTTACCAACGACAAAGACAGGATGCCTGAATATCGAGCTATGGAGTGGTTACCAAGCGTCTCCAAACAGTAATTCTCAGAAGCCAAGGCTTATTGTTTGATTAACTCAGCAATCTTGTCATCTTTACATATAACTCATTCCCCAACGTATGTTCAAATCCAGCTA